TTTGGGTTGGGATGCACTGTGAGCTTAAAAATGTGGAGACGATGTTCAGAAATTGGAAGACTTAGCACGAAAATGAAGGATTCTGGGTAATCTGGTTTGTCTTGTTGAATTGCGTTTGAAATATGAAGCTGAGTGGTGGTGGCTTCTCTCTATGTGCCTTCCTTAGCCCCTTCTCTCATATGGTCTATATGCACACAGGCCCTTCCACTAAGCAGGGCCTCTCATTCACTTTTCCATTACAATCACAAAGAAAACCAATGACTGTTTAAAAGGGAAGTGAACAGATGTCATTCCAGTATATTGAGGCTAACACTTTAACAGATGAGGAATGTGTCTGATTATTTTTACATCTACCCTTCATACAGTCCTGTACTCACCCAATAGTATACAAGAGCATTGAAGTTATCAAATAAGCTGTTCTATAGTAAAGTTATAAGCTCTCTGATATGCAAACTAGAGTAGAAAAGAAAAACCTCAAGCAAATCCAATATTTGAAAGTTTGAATTTATGAAAGATGACTTACCTCTCTTGATTATAGGGCTAAAGGACAATCACAAGTTTCATCTGAAGATTTACCAAAGGAATTCCTTAAATCACAAGCCTATGAAATTCCTATAAACTTGCATTTGTATTCTGACTGTTGACTATGCCCGCAGTTGTTCAGGCACATCTGGAAACTAAGGTTTCCTTCTAAGTAATCCAAGCACTAAATAGTTTCTTCCATCTGAAGACAATTTCTTATTTTATTTTATTTATTTAATTACTGGTTTTTTATTGTTGGGGATTCATTGAGGGTACAATACAAGAAACCAGGTTACACTGATTACATTTGTTAAGTAAAGTCTGAATGCAATTTCTATATTCCTTCTATTACTTACAGATGCCTTAAAAAATCTAGCTTAATGCATCCAAATATAATCCTCCAAGCTCTTAAGAGTAAAAAATAAAGGTGCTTTTTGGAATGGCCAAAGCTATTTTTCTCACTGTTATTTATGATCAGTTCTAAGACAGGACATAGGCACTAGCCATCCATCCATGCTGTAGGCATTTATTTTAAAGCATTTATCTTAAAAAGAAAATACTGAAGATTTATTTCAGATGCCTATCATTCTCATAAAATTGAAAAATTCATATCTGCCAGCTCCATCACACCTCAAAGTCAACTGAAGCTTTTAGTCCCCCCTTATCAACTGCTCTTGTGTTGTGTGTCAGCATTCCCGCCCCTTTCCCACTGGTCTTTTTTTCCAATTTAGCCTGTGAGGTGAACTATAAGCTTTGCAGAAGATGATTCCATCACAGTATTTGTGCTCTGGCTTGTTACTCTCATCCTTCTCCCTTTAAATAGTTTTTAAAACTTCTTACACATAGTTTCTGCTAAAATATCTGTAAGAATCATATACAATCTCAAGCAATTTTCGTTGCAATTAAAATTATGATTGCATTTTGCAAATTTCAGGGATATAAAGTAGATTTTATGGTATATCTCCTGATTATGGTAATAACAATTATTTATTGTAGAAACTGGAAAAATATAGAAAGTTGTAGACAAAAAGCATGAAGTATACATTTTTATATCCTCAGAGAAAGCTGCTTTTTAATATTTTAGTATATTTCCTTCCAATCATTTTTCTACTCTTTGTTTTTCAAAAATTGTGATCATGTGTCATATTTCACATTGTAATTTATTTTCCCCCACTAATAAAAATATAATTTTTATTATATTTTTTTCTGCAGTTGATTAAATGGTTGCATGATTTCCTATTTAATAAATATTCTATGGTTTACCATTCTTTCATTAACTGACAATATGTCTATTCACAATTCTATTTTATTAATATTACAACACGTGTCCACATTTCAGATTGTGTTATTTGGATGAAGTTCCAGAATTGGGAGGAATTGGTCAAGCATTTTAAAATTTCTGAAATATGCTAAGTTGCTTTTTAGAAAAGTTGTGTGAGTTTCCAGTCCTCCTCTCCCCAAAACAACCCCTCATTCCCTGGCCTGCTATGATTTAGTGACAGTATGATAGAATAGTTCCTTACTACCAATATCTGTAAAATTATGTAAGTTTTTCAGGGTTGTTGTTTTGATGAAAATAAAAAAGAAAATGTCCCTGACACATGTTGCAATGATCAGAGATGTAGTAGAATTTTAATAAATCTGGATTTCCTTTTCTAAACCCTCCTCCCTGCCAGTCTCATAGGGCAGATAACTAACTCACAGAAAGTTTAAGCAACTTGCCCAGCGTACCTGAGCAGGCCAGTGTGGGGCTGGGCCAGGCTCCAGGGCTTCTCGCGACTTGCTCTGAGTTCCCTTCGCCTGTGTTACTGCTTTTTGATCACTGTCCCACCCGATGAGCAAAGCACTGACACTCAGTCAAACCTCGCTCAGACTTCAGTCAAGTCCATTAGACTTGACTCGATTCTCAACCCAGTGTCTCAGCTCTGTTGATTTGACCTTCTTAGAGAATTGGGTACAGAAAAATCCTTGAGTCATAATGAAAATCCTGTCCACTGCATGGCAGAAAATGATAATGAAAGCAAGCTGGGCACACCATGAACTTATTAATTTCTACCTGTGCCCCACTGAAGCCTGTTAGGCAACTATAGAGACTTTTAAATTTGAAGGGAATTAGATTGCCTTTCAGAGATGATAGAACTGCTCATTTGTCTACATTGGGCCAGTCTGGGCTTGTCTTTTATAAGGACGGGGCTGCAGAGAATGATCAGGCATAATTGGCAGACTTCTCAGGCTGGGCGACTCTCTGAAGGATGCCCAGAAAATTGTCTGGGACGTGATTTGGCCTAGTTTTATTAGGTGGTTATAGTGCTGGTTGCAGCAAAGAATGCTCTATCCTACACAGTTACTTCTGTTCATACCTTCTGATGTGTTCACCCTGGTAGTTGGCCTCCCTGTCTTTAGATCTGCACTGGGTTCTTGCTCATGCCTCAGGCTCTGTAGGTGTCTAATGGCAGAGCCCTTCCCAGAGGGCTTGGTACAGCCCTGGTGTCTTATGGTGAGAAGGAAAGGCAGAGGTGTGAATGGTCACAGGCTTTGAGCCAGAAACACATTGTCTGACATTTAGGACCTGCCACTTGCTCACCGTACCATCTCAAATGAGTCATTGAACTGCTCAGAGGTACAGTTTTATTTTATTTAATACGAGGATAATTATAGTACCCACCTCTGGTATTAATATGTGGATTAAATAAGATATTAATGCAAAATACCTAGAGGCCCCTCTGGCAGCCAGTAGATGTCCAAGAAATCATAGTTCTGATAATCACAGCAATGGTGATAATGAGGGTAATCAGAGTAATTGCAATTATTATTATTAGCAATAAACCACAGTGTTTGACTCGTTTTAGGATGCTTACAATAGTGCAATTATGATCCATTATGATGATGTTGAGGAGAAGAAAAAAATAATTTTGGAGTTTGTTCTAAAGTTTGATGCAGTCAGCTGCTTGTACCACCAAGCTATGTTGCCTAGGTTTTTTGGTTACATATTGGTGTGAGAACAATCAGTTAATCAATGGAAAGGAAAATAACTTGAAACCTATGCAGAATTCTATAAATAAATGTCAGTTAGAAATACATTTTTTTACATTCTACTTGTAATTTATCCCTGTA